ATTAGAGGTTTAGCTTAACCAATAAGATTCTTCCTTGAATATATTGAACTTCCTTATGAAGATAAGAGATATACAGATCCATAAGAATGGTTTGGAAAAGATGATTAAACATTCAATAGTCAATTTACAAATCTTCCATATCTTAAAGATGGAGATCATGTATTTAATTATATTATTCTTAGACTGTTTTCGAGTCAGATGCCATCTATTATTATGTAGCTCACAAAGCTAATAAACCAGAATTACTTGGCAAAGATGCTAAATAATAGACAATGGTAGCAACTATTAGAGGAGTCATAGCCGATTTAAAGGCTTCATTTTATGGTTGGACATATGGAAACAAAGAAACAGCTGAAGCCAAAAAAGAAGCAATGTTGCAAGAGACTGGAGAATTCTTCAGAGTCTTTAATACTACTTTAGAAAGATCAACATGGTTGACAGGAGATACAATTACTTATGTTGACTTTGTATTATGGGAATATGTTGATGAATTCCTAGTATTAGCTCCTGAAGTGATTAATTCAAAACCAAAACTTGTCGAATTTCACAATAGAATTTCTGAATTCCCATAAATAAAGAAATATCTAGAAAATCCAAATTACATTAAAAGACCATTCAATTCCCCTCCTTATGCCGTATTCTTTTGAGTTGAAGTATATATAAAATGATTATTAATTATTAAGTATTAAACTCTATGATTTTCGAAATATAAAATTTATAAGAAAATAATGATTAGATTAATTTAAAATTAATGATTCAATATTACATAATATATTCTAATGTTAAGTATATTTATATCATTAGATATTTTCTTGAATCATAATTTTCTTTGTTTCTATTGGGTTAAAAATAAATGCATTGAACAAATCTTTAAACTCTTCTTCATTTATTATATTTTAACTATTATTAGATAATATTGAGAATATTCCCTCCATGGAATCCTATTTAGCTTCATTATTTATCTGAAATTTTAACTATGAAATTTTGCTAATTTAGATACTATCATAAAAACTCAATAAAAATAATTCAATTCGTGAAAGTTCATTTATTATGTTCATAAATACTAATTTTTATTTTGCTAATTTTTGCAAATTATTATAAGTAATTCTTTAAGATTTCTCTTATGATTTTTTGAGAGAATCATAATTTAATACAAGACTTTTTAAAACTGCTTCTACAAGAGTGTTTTCTAATAGATTTTCATTGTAATAATATGCTAGATATTATACCATCATAATCATACTAACTATTGATCCTACTTAAGCTAAAACCTCACCTAATTTAGGATAAACTATTTAGGTATCATAAGAAAAAGGATCTAATCTTATTGTAAATGTTAAATATGAATCCATATTAATCATTTTTTTAAAAAAGTCAATAGATATTGTACTAATTAAAAATTAAGCATCAAATATAAAATCTTTTTCTTCAAAATCTCCAAATAATATTCCTGAATCGATTATGGTATTTTATTGTTTTACTATTACTTAAATTTATTATGCTCTTTCTTTCTCAAACGAAATATAGTATTATTTTTTTACAATATCAAAAATCCTGCTTTTTGAATTGAAATACTTAGTATTTATCCAAAAGCTCAAGATATTAGTTTATGAAATGAAAAAGTTTTCAATTTCATTTTCACTTGCACATGTTTAATTTTCAGAAAGCAAGTATTATTTACATTTTGTAATAATAATGAGCAATTCTTTAGTTTAATTTAACAAAGGATTAAATCCACTATTTTAAATAATATTCAGATTCTCTACATAAAATAAATTACTATTGTAAGTTGATAGAGTTGTTATGTTACTCAATAGCGAAAAGGGTTTTTAAGGGATACCAGCAATAACATATATACCTATTGGCATTAAAATATTATCAGTGGTTCTGAACGGATCAATTATATCCTCTTAGTACTTCCAATAACATAATTCGAATAGATTCTCATTACTAAACTATATTGATGAATAGTTTTCAGCCTTTATGATATTTGTTGATTTTGGTAGGATATTAGAATTTCTCCATTAATCCATTATATATATAAAGTAACCTAGACTAACTGAAGTAACTATAATTGATAATACTCCTCCAAAAACAGATTTTTAAAGTTTTTCATCTTTATGTATTTCTTATTTAAATTATACTCCAAAAATATCAGCCATTTTAACATACTTCATTTTATAATTTATGATTAAAATTTATTAATATTTTTATGGATTACATAGAACCAACATGATATGATAACAATGGATTAGATAAAATCTTAACAAAAATATTTAATTTATCTCTAACGAATATAGAATTAAAGCTTTTTAAACATTTTCTTGTAAAGATTAACAGTACATGCAGTTTTTAGATAAATCAGTTACACAATTAACTAATTTTTTATTTAAAATTTCTTTGATAAATATATAAAGTAATATCATATTAGTAAAAAATATATAAAGTTAGATAAATCACTGAATTTATGAATAAAATAGAAATATTGAATAATAATAGTAAGATTGCAAAGTAATTAGGTAACAAATAATCAAAATCTTGAAATATTCTCATATTATTTATAAAAAAATTAAAAATGTGCTATATTAATTCAAGCAAAGGGACATTATTTTCTTAAAACCAAATTTTACATCTTATCTTCATAATCCTATAGAAATTAAATATTTTTCATAATCCCCTTTATCAAATGAATAAATATCGATTTAACATTTTATTATATGTTGATTAATTAATATTTCTGCAAACAAAAAAATAAAGTATGTAATTTCTTTTTTAATTATTTAAAAAAGGATGATTCAATTATTATTCACCAAATTTCCATTTTAATTAATTAGAAATAAAAAGAATTTATGAATCTTATATTATTACCATAAATAAAATTAATATGACCCATTATTTTACTAAAATATCTAATTTCATATATAAATAATTACATGGAAAACAAAGTCGTTCTTGGATATTGGGCTATTAGAGGTTTAGCTTAACCAATAAGATTCTTCCTTGAATATATTGAACTTCCTTATGAAGATAAGAGATATACAGATCCATAAGAATGGTTTGGAAAAGATGATTAAACATTCAATAGTCAATTTACAAATCTTCCATATCTTAAAGATGGAGATCATGTATTTAATTATATTATTCTTAGACTGTTTTCGAGTCAGATGCCATCTATTATTATGTAGCTCACAAAGCTAATAAACCAGAATTACTTGGCAAAGATGCTAAATAATAGACAATGGTAGCAACTATTAGAGGAGTCATAGCCGATTTAAAGGCTTCATTTTATGGTTGGACATATGGAAACAAAGAAACAGCTGAAGCCAAAAAAGAAGCAATGTTGCAAGAGACTGGAGAATTCTTCAGAGTCTTTAATACTACTTTAGAAAGATCAACATGGTTGACAGGAGATACAATTACTTATGTTGACTTT